CTCCTCCTCCTCCTCCTCCACCTCCTCCTCATCCTCCCACCTTCCTCCTCTCTCCCTCCTCCATCCCCCATCATCCTCCCCCTTCCCCCAACCGCGACAACTTGGCGGCGGCGGCCTCGTCCAAGGCGCGCGCCGACGCTCTCCGCGAGGGTTGCAGGCGGGGGTGGTCCCGCTGGGCTTCGAGGTCCATGGGGGGGGTCGCTCGACAGCGGGCAGCCTCGGAGTCGCTGGGGTTCGAAGTCGACAGGCTCCCCTGGCGAGCGTCGGCCCTCTCTTGCCGAGACTTGGTGGCTCCGGCAAATTTGCCGACGAGTTGTCCGCTGGTCACCGCGGATGACTGGGCGTCAGTTGGGGCGGCTGGTCTGGGTCGGCGCCTTCCAGTTCTCGGGGCGCCGACCGGTGCTATCTTTCCTTCGCAGCTGCCACGGGTTCGCGCAGTGCCACCACCGCTGGCCTCGCTACCGCTGGCGATCAGCTGCTGAGGGGCCCCGTGTGGCGGCGGCAATGCCGCCTTTCGCGAGATCCAACATGCGGCGACCCTGGGAGGTTTTCGACGCTGGTCCCGCGGGTCGTGGCATCCTCGCTTCGGGTTTGGAGGCGCTTGGCAGGACTTCCTCGATGCCCCCTCGTCCATGTTCACGGATTTCCGAGAGGCGCGATCGCTGTCCAATCGAGGCAGGCGTCATCTCAAGATAGGTGACTTTTCGGGCTTGGTCTTCGTTGGGTCCAAGGGGCGTGCCGACAACTTTAGGTTGTTGATGCCGTGCCGAAGCAATGCTGCCCTGACTGTGGGCCCCGTCAGAGATGTTTCTGACTCCGCTTCTCGTCGTTTCCTTGCCGATGTCCACGGCCGCGGCGAAGCGTCTGCTGTTTCCCGGCCGATCCCGTTCTCTAGCCGCCTGGGCAAGGTCGCTCGCGTGGGAGTCACTCCAGAGTTTCGAACTCCGCGCCAGCTGGCGTCCTCGCCCCACCAGGGCGGCAATGGCGCCCCGGGGCTCTCGGCGCGGCGCTCGCCGAAGACGCCGCCGACCCTGGGGGCGCTGCCGACCAGTGCCGACGGGGGCCGCAAGTCGCCGGCGCGCGCTGGCTCGGCGGTCACGGGCTCGAGTCCGCCAAGCGGCTGCCGGAGCGGAGGGCCGCGAGCTGCGGGAGAAGCTCGAGCTCTGCGGTGTCGTGGTGAGTCTCCTCGCGATGAGGTCGATCGGGGCGCAGTCGATCCCATGAGGATTGCAGACATTTCGGGGGGCTTAGGCTTCGTGGTCGACCGCGGGCTCGACATTCGTAAGGACACGGACGCGGGCGAGGCTCTGGTGCAGCTGATGGGCCTCCTGTATCTGGATGGGTGGCAAGGCGACCAGCATTCCGCTCCGATCTGCCGCGCGCATGGGCGCATGGGGTCGCCGCCGCGCTGCTCCGGCGCGGGTGCCTTGAGAGCGCCCGACGCGTGGTGGGGATGCGCGACGCGTGCCTCCGCGCTGGCGAGGCGACGCGGCTCCGGGCCGACGACTTCGGGCCGCCAGTGAGCATCCGCTGCGGGCGCGAGCACGGCGCGCTCATCCTCTGCTGTTCCAGCGCTGGGGTGCCGACCGAGGCTCGGGTGCCGGTCGGCGCCGTCTCCGCGTCGGACCGGGACTCCCCCGCCGCGCAGGAATGAACTGCGGCGGATCAAGGCTCGCCGCGCCGCGAGTGCCCAGCGTAGCCAGGAATGACTCCGACTGGGCCTGCTGCGACCTCGGGCTCGCGAAGGTGCCTCGGCAGCTGCCGGCGGCCGCCGGCGCGGGCCGGGCCAGGGGGGGCCCTGCTGGCCCGAGGGTCGCGCGCCGAGGCCGCTGCGCGCGGCAGCGGGGCAGCCCTCTCCCTCCGTGAAGAGGTGCAGGAGGCGCGGCGTGGTGCAGTGAGCGCTGGCCAGCAGCCCATCACCACCCACCGAGCCACCCCAACCCAACCCGAAGGCCTCAATTTGCCCTCCATTTCCAGTGTGGGGGGGTCGGGGAACATCGAGAAAACACATAATTATGGAACCCGTACCCCCCCAAACCCGAAATTCGGGTCTTCGGGTTGGGTTGGGGTGGTCTGGTAGGTAGTCAACCCAAAACCACTTTTCGTCATGGCCGGGCTCTGCGGTTGGCCCTGCCAGCCACCGCGTCCGCCCCGTGCGGGCGCGGCCGCCGAGGTCTTCTCGGGCTTTGGGCACCTGGCGCGAGCGCTGGCGCGAGCTGGGGATCCCATGGGTGCATCTGACATTGTCGACGGGCCCGAGACCGACTTTCTCCGGCCCGCGGTGGTGCAGAGGTTTCGCGATGAGCTGCGGGACGGCCGCTTCTTGTTCGCGTGGTTAGGGAGTGCGTGCAACGCCCGCTCTCGTGCCGCCGATCGCTCTTATGGAAAGCGCACTCTTCTTTCCAACGCGTACTTCTATGCTATGTTCTTTCAGATCTCAGTCAGCAGCAGCAGCAGCAGCAGCAGCAGCAGCAAGTGACCTCCGCCAATCGGCTCATCCTAATAGTCGGCTCTCTAGCCCGTGAATGCAACACGTGCGGGGTCCCTGGTATGACGGTGAATCCTACGGCATCTGGGCTCTCTTTCTTTTGGTGGTAGAGAGATCGGATCCTTGAGAGAACCGCTAGATCTGTTATTCTTGACTGCGCTATGTTGAAATGCTCTGGAGAAGATGCATCCTTCTTTGTAGGCACACTGCAGGGCAAGGAGTCGTGGGTGGATGCACAGGGGAAGAATGTCGGCTCACCTGCAAACCCCACCAGGCGCATGAAAGCAAAGACTCTCCAGGAATGTTCTTGGACCAGGCGGGTCAAGCCACATCCCACGCTTCTGTGTGTAATATTATCTCCTCTTCTGTCGTCGCCTCCGTCCGTCAACCCACTTAGAACAGCTTTGTGGTTCTGGGGACAGGGTGTGGGCCCTCGTAGCATCATAGTTCCCACATATCTGTTTCGCTCGGGCCTCATTCTTTGTGAGTGGCGCTGTTTCCCAGGTAGCGTCTTCACATGACTCCAGTTCCACTGGTCGACTGAAACCGATTTACGTCGATTTAGCTGTATTGATATTCACGTGTATCTAAGCACATGCATGTATGTATGTGCGCATCGTTTTAACCCTTGCATGCAAATGCGTGTGTATATCTGGACAACCATGTGTCACCATGTAAAGATCCACATGGCAGACATGTCGCGGCGCATATTTACTTCACTGATACGTGTTGCATGACATTTGTGCAAACGTGTTGGTTTGGCAACGTATGCCGTGCCATTCAGCAGCCTGACGAGGGGCGTTTTGTATGATATCTACGAGCAGATACCCATCCTAGAACACATTTGTCCTCGGGCTTCTTCCCCTTCCCCTTCGCGAGTCTCCTCTGGGACGGGCGTTCGGCGCTCAGCCACCGACACGGACGACGACGGCGCGGACTTGCTGAAAATGATGGCGTTGCAGGCGCCTCGTCGTTGCCGCCGTTGTGGCCGCCGTCGCCGCTGCCGCCACCGCTAACTGTCACAGCCGTCGTCTTCGTCGTCATCGTTGTCGTCGTCATCGTCGGGCGGGGGGGAATGGGAGGGGGATGCGGAGAAGGAAGACGTGGAGGAGGGAGGGAATGGGGGAATGGTGGACGAATGTAACGAACATGGCGAGTTTCTTTTGTCTTGATGCTCTTTGCGGGCTCTCATCAGATTGTGACGGAGAGCCAAGGCCTGGGGTGGGGTGCAGAGGAGGTGAAGCTGTGCGACGTTTGCGAAGGATGACTAAAAGGGCGGGAGGTGATAGAAGAGAGCGGATGAGGGGTGGGTGGGTGGGTGGGGGGAGGGCGAGGGAGCGTGGCGGGCGGGCGGAAGGAGGAGGAGGAGGCGGAGGGAGGAGGAGGAGGAGGAGGAGGAGGAGGAGGAGGAGGAGCATGATGATGATGGTGGTGATGATGATGCTGATGATGATGAAAATGATACTGATGATGAATGATGATGCTTATGATAATGATGCTGATGGCGATGGTGATGACTGTGATGATGCTGATGATGATGATGATGATGATTGTGGTGGTAGTGGTGGGGGTGTTGATGATGATGCCGCTG